GTACGAGCACGTGAAAATCATGGCGGGAAAATTCATAACTTGGGAATGAGAAAAGCTAGAAAGTTAAGACTTTGGGGGAATGTTTCCTACTCACGCACGATCAAAATTTTTTAAACTGAGCTCCTTAGGACTGCCCGGGGCTCACGTACGGGCACGTGAAAATTTTGGCGCGAAAAATACCAACCCGGGAACGGGGAAAGCTAGAAAGCTGAAACTTTGCGGCAATGTTCCCTACTCATGTACGAACAAAACCAGGTGTTTAGATGTGCCACGTACGGGCACGTGGAAATTTTGGCGCGAAAATCACTAACCCGAGGAAGAAAAAAGCTAGAAAACTGAAACTTTAGGGTAATATCCCCTACTCATTCATGACCAAAAGATTTCAAATTCAGCTCCTTAAAACTCTCACGTACGGACACGTGAAAATTCTGATGGGAAAACTGCTCATTCGGGAACGGGTAAAGCTTAAGGCTTTAATTTTAAGGGAATGTTCCCTGTCCATATGCGACAAAAAGATTTAAAATTTAACTCTTCTAGTGCTGCCTTCTTCGCGGACCAGCAACGTTCCATTTGTCGGGTCACTGAAGTAGACATCTACAACTAACATACCACATAGCTGCACAGTTAACTTCCCGAACTTCGAGGGCCAGTATGTCACAGGGTTAGCTACTGTGATTCCTTACGATCTTGCTACGGCACGAAAAGTGCAAAAACGCATAATCGCACCGACCCGCCTGGCGCGTACCAGCCTGGGTTTAATGAAGGGATGACCAAATTTTGGTGGGTAAAAACATGTTCTTGATATTGTTGGGTAATAGTGAAGGGGAAAGGCGCTTTTTTCGATAAAATTGGAAGGTTTTTTTTTTGTTTTTAGAATATGAGAACAGCTTGGATGTCTCGTGTTAGTGATGTACTAAGATGCACCCACACACAGTTATACCACAGGCTTTTGCGCTGCACACTACTGCTTGCTCGATATATTTGTACCATCTTTTCGGGGACCTACCAGAGTAGTCGCTTTTTGTGAATACCATTCACTAACGCCCAGTGTCCACCACCGGTTTTGGAGTAACACTCAAAAATATCTTTTCTTTTTCGTTGTCCTACTGCAGACTTTTATCGCGGTTTACTTTCAGGTATACCAAACCGAAAGGACAACTACCTGATTACAATACGCCAATTGTGTTGCCAGCAGATTCACGAACGGTCGATGATTTGTGCTTGAAAATCCACAAAAATCTTCAGAAAGATTTTAAATTGTAGGTTTTTTGATTTTTTAAAGAACGTTCATAATGAAAATTTGTCTTGGCAAAAAGTACGCCTGAAGAAGCGATGCGTGCTAGATATACTTTGAAGTCAGATATCCTACTTTTTGCATTTTAAAGGTCCAGTTTTCCTCCTCTTAGGCCTAGGCGGTGCCGACAGATCTGATGTGGTATGGTTTCCTGTGGAGTACATCCCAGAAGCAGGTTCAGTCTGGCACAATGAAGAAACAAAATCTCGTTGCCTCATGAACAGTCGGGAGTGGGAGTTATCATCAGCAGGCAGTAAAGCAAATCCTCTTCTTAATTAGTCGTTCCCGAGGGTTCTCGTTTTTCATAAAGAGTGAAATATGGAAGATATCTAACTGCGTCTGTTTGCCCACACCAACATTTCATTTCTTATCAGAACAATTTGGTCAAAATTTTATATCATCCATTACAGAAAGCTTACTTTGCGTCCCTCTGATTTTGAAATTAATTTCAGTGCTTATGTCTGGGGAAGCTCAGCAAAGCACAATCCACAGAGGGTAG